CGCAACTGGAATGTAAGTCAGAAATCGGTATTTAAAGATCCTGTAACACAATTTTCTTATGATTTTAAATCATAAATATGATGCTCAAAATAAGATTTATCAATATTGTAGGTTCCAAAAAGCATTATCTATAAAGATTTTACCGAATTTAACATTTCATGTAAATAAAGGGTGGTTATTAAAACATTTATTTTCCATAAAGTTTATGTCAATTTTTACAATGAGAAATGAATGCATATAATTTAATGATTACATATATGCACAAATATTTGCAGTACATATTTTACATAGTCTTCGATGTTTGAAAATTGTTTTATTTGCATAATTATGTTAATATATAAAATTTCACTTAGTGTGGTATACCACTTTGATCACAACATACAGGATCTTTAAGCAGAACTCAATCGACACCTTCAGAACTCTGGAACCCAAAGTGCGTTGATATGTAGCATATTTAAAGGTGCGTTTGACCCCGAAGTGCTATGGAAAGCCAGCGGTCGCTGTGGAGAGGTTATGGCTGTTGTGGAAAGTCGGCGGTCGCTAGGGGAAGTCAGTGGTTGCTGTGGGAAGTCACTGATGGTCACGGACAGTCACTGGGTGCTTAAGAAGTCTATGGTGGCCATGGGAGGTCACTGCTTGCTATGCGAGACACTGGTCGCTGTGGGGAATCAGTGGTTGCAACGGTTGTCCGTTGTCGTTATGAAGAGTCACTGGTTGCTATGGAAGTCATTGGTTGCTAGGAAAAGTCAGCGGTTGCTATTGAAGTCATTTGTTGCTAAGCTGGTTTACTGGTTGCTATGGAAAGCCAGCGGTCGCTATGGAGAGGTTATGGCTGTTGTGGAAAGTCGGCGGTCGCTAGGGGAAGTCAGTTGTTGCTGTGGGAAGTCACTGATGGTCACGGACAGTCACTGGGTGCTTAAGAAGTCTATGATGGCCACGGAAAGTCACTGCTTGCTATGTGAGACAGTGGTTGCTGTGGGGAGTCAGTTGTTGCAACGGTTGTCCGTGGTCGTAATGAAGAGTCACTGGTTGCTATGGAAGTCATTGGTTGCTAAGAAAAGTCAGCGGTTGCTATGGAAGTCATAGGTTGCTAAGGTGGTTTACTAGTTGCTATGGAAAGCCAGCGGTCGCTATGGAGAGGTCATGGCTGTTGTTGAAAGAAGGCGGTCGCTAGGGGATGTCAGTGGTTTCTGTGGGAAGTCACTGATGGTCAGGGACAGTCACTGGGTGCTTAAGAAGTCTATGGTGGCCATGGGAAGTCACTACTTGCTATGCGAGACACTGGTGTGACTCCCCACAACGATCAGTGTCTCGCATAGCAAGCAGTGATTTCCTTGACCACCATAGACTTCCTGAGCACCCAGTGACTGTCCGTGACTATATGACTTCCCACTGCAACCACTGACATCCCCTAGCGACTGCTGACTTTCTAAAACGGCTATAACCCCTCTTCATAGCGACCGCTGGCTTTCCATACCAACCAGTGAACCACCTTAGCAACAAATGACTTCCGTAGCAACCATTGACTTTCCCTAGCATCCAATGACTTCCATAGCGTACAGTGGCTCTTCACAGCGACCATGAAACATAAATCTGGAAAAGAAAATTCAGTTTAATCGTGTGTAAAAACAAGACAAGCGCTTGAGTATAGTCTCTTTAAACTAGGGCTTATAATTATTATTTTTTTTTGGGGGGGGGGGGGGTTGGCGGTTGGGCGGTAGGGGACGACGAGAGAGGTAGTAGAAATGTACAGTCTAAGAAAAGTTATTTCACAGTGGGCCAACGTGTTGAAAATTTTCTTTTTATTACATGGAAGATGTCTGAGTATCCAAATTAACACTATCATGTATGCATTGTCATCAAAATAAATACGCAAAAAATACGAAACGTGTCTATCAGGATTAAATATGCACATACGTTTACATAATTAACAACAGTTTCATTTTTTTAAAAATCTCTTTCGCCTCGATCTAAAATTTGGTTAGGTTGATAATTTGGATTAGTTAAAGGGTATAAAGCTATATATGTCATGAAATATTTGAATAAAATTTATCAATAGTAAAATTATATTGCTTCCATAATTTTATGGTCGATTTCCAAAAGACTTTTAAAATGTGATGTCTCTGCTACTCTGCTATTTAACACGCATGAATATTGTACGTAAATAGAATACAATGTTGCGGGACCAAAAAAAAACCTAATCCTATTTTAAGTTTGTTTTTATCCGTTTAACAATGACTTTGTAATGCCTTATTCACTTTTAAGGCAATTTACTACCATATTTCTTTCATACAAGGATTTTGGAAGTATTCTTTTTTTTTAAATTAAAACAAACATGTTTGCTTGTTAATAAATAAATAAATAAATAAATAAATAAAAATAAATAAATAAATAAATAAATAAATAAATAAATAAATAAATAAATAAATAAATAAAATAATATAAAATAAATAAAAAGATGAATTAATTAAAAAGAGAAAGAAACAATATTAAACAGACAAAAAAGAGATAAATCTAGTATGCATGCATAGGCTAGAAAATCTACCATTCAATAGACATAATTTTAAAACGAACTTAAATTTTACATTACTGAGGGGCACTAGAACAAGATACATGCATCTTTGACCGCTGTATGCAGATTTTAACCTAATTATTTCACCCGGATTTCCCCCTACTGCTTTCAAAGGCACGTTCTAATTCTGTTACTTAAAAAACACATTACATTTTATACTATATTTGAGGCACAATGTCATGGTGACCTTACTGAACATTTTAATGAATGTTGTTTTTTTTTTGTTCACGAACACATCACGGCAATATCAGATGAAGAAAGACTAGTTCAATACGGTCGGTTTGAAAAATGGTCCCGTGAACCAATGACCCATTTCTATATTACGTTAATGTTCGATACGCGGTCATTAACATGACAGCTTAGCATGGCTCGTCCTTCCAAAATTGCAAAGTAAGCAAAGTAAGCACATAACGTATGGCATAAAATTCAAAAGTTTTCATCAGATTCATATTCTACCACAAAGCCTTGCGGCGTACGCACGTATCTAAGCTGAAAGCTCTTAGCAAATATTTCAAGCATCTTTGATAAGCCTATAAAAGATGAAGATCGTTGACGGTAAAGTTCAGATTAAGACAAAATCTGAATCGAATGAAGAAACAAATGATGTAAATAAGGAAGTGGAACAAGGAATAGTGAAAGAACATTGCGGGATGATAGGCAAGGAAACAGACAATACCACACTTCAAGAAATGGATGATGACACTGACGATGATCAAACTGGACCTCCAGTAGACCGAGGGTGGGCATGGGTCATTCTAACAGGTAAAACTGTATCGTGTTTTTGAAACAAAACAAAGGTCATGAATCTTATTACTTGTAAGCACTTCATCATTGATTTGAATTGTATTCATGACTATTTACTGAATTTCATGCGTGAATTGCATCTTTGAAGTTTCTAATTTAGCAATTTGGAAAGATTTTTTTCAAAACAAGTATGCAAAAATTGCATTTCTTAAAATGAAGCATCTGAAGATTTTGTGGCGAAAAAAAGTTAGAAATTGACAGCATGAACATGTTACATGCAACACTAATGCATCATTAATTTTGCAACCGCATAAAAATCAAATTCCGGTTTCCTGTATTCACTTCATGACAGCGCATAAAATACGATTAAGTCAAATGTTTGAACGCCACCAAATTATTTGCATTTTACATTTATCTATTTTTGAAACACGCATATATTGGCTAATTACTTTTGACAAGTGTCCTACCAAAAAACCACGGCCTTTCATTAAATGATGCTTTGTAACACCGCACTTTGGGTCAAGCAGCTAAGAATAAAATCCTTATCTCGTGGCCACGAGATATAATTCAGAAATAGTAAATCACTACTTGCAAAAGAACAACAGTAAAAAGTCTTCAGGTAATTGGGCAATGAGTTGTTTTTTGAAAAGTACATCAAAAAGAAAAATCTTTTGAGAAATAAATAAATGAATTAGAAAAAAAAAAACATTTCTAAGGCAAAATGGGCCTTTATGCATTTGATTAGTGATTACATTTTCTTTATGTGTTATTGTCATCACAAAGAAATGCAGCAGAAGAGATTTGCATAGACTCCTTAACCCATTACTGTATGAGCATTTTGTGAAAAATGGCTGTTTCCATTGAAAAGCCTCTAGTTACAAGTTCAAATTGCTATGAAACTATTAACGATGCTTCAATATTCATTAAACTTGGCACAAACTGTTGACTGGACCATAGCCATTATAACGGCAGGCTCAATCTTTAATTTCCTGTTACCATGGCAATGAGGGGACATCTCAAAATTGCCCAAAATCACTATATTGCGTTTATTTTTCCATCCAAACTGATTTCGCAGTGCTGCAACTTTTCAATGGATTGAGATAAAGTCAAATGATTTTCAGCGTTAGTTAATCGTTACCTTCTGATCGACCTGAGGTCAATTTTAGCCTCTCACAAGTCCACACTCTTCTTGGCAATGAGGGGGCTACTGTCCCCCTTCAAACCTCTAAGCAGACGGGGGCAGATCCCCCTTTAGCACCCCTAATGTATCTTTCTGATAGGGGCGGCGCTGAAAAAGTGACATTTCTTAAACAAAAACAAGTGTTTAGGGTCTAAATCTCAAAGGGTGGGGTTATATTTGAGATAAAGGTTAATTGTCTCCCTTTAATTTGATTGAATAATTTTGTATAAAATAGTTATTAAATAATCCAGTGACACGAGTATAATTTTAATCTCGCTTACAGTAATGTATAATTATAGATATTCAAATCCATTATCTTATAGGTGAGGTTATCCTTACCAAACATTATTTGATACGGATTAAATCCACTCTAAGTTAATGAGGAATGCATAGCGTTCTTTTCATACATATAGTTTAATGACCCATATATCTATCTACATGTATAACCAGTGTTTTATTCATTACTATAAAGAATGTAAGGATGAAATCAATTTCAATGGAACATGCTTCAGACGTTATGTTAGACTGTTGGATAGATATTGGAAATGAATATAATATGGATTAGTAAAAACTCGGAATAAGTCAGATCTATTTATATTTTTTCAATAAATTGGTAATAAAATTAGAAGATGGAAAGAGAATCAAAGATAAAGAATGAATTAAATGGGAAAACGTTCAATTCTAATGATAAAGTTGAACAAATGTCAGTTGGTGCTGATTCCACAATGCTAAATAAAGATAACGACGAAGATGCACTACATGATGTAACTGAAGATGTTGAGGAATGTGAAAGTTGGGCTCCAGAGGACAAGAGTTGGGCTCCTGTAGATAAGGGGTGGGCGTGGGTCATCCTTGCAGGTAAAAGAATCTGACTTTGTTTAAAGGCCCATTTAGACCGAATAATACTATAACTTCCATTTCTCCAAACTTTTTATTTTTATTCTAGTTGCCCTGTACCAATATCCGAAAAAGTACCAGTTGGGCATTAAAATGCACCGTCTTTTACTTAATTTGCTGTTTGGTAATTAGTACAGTTATAGTGATTTAGTTTTTTGTATGGAAGTCAAAATATGACTCAGTTATCGTTCTGCTATTTTTATGATTAATTATTTCTCATTCAGCGCTACAAAATGTCAGTGAGAATTATTCAATATGCTTTAAATCCATTATGTAAATATTATTTAACATATGTATGTTCATTTTAAAGATTTCTAAGGTATAATTGGCATTTAATGTATATGAAATGTAAATAGTATTATAGCGCAGTGTGTCGGGTTAATGAACTGTCAAATGAACTTTCAAATGAACTGTCAAATGAACATTCAAATGAACTTTCAAATGAGCACCACTGTAGTACATGAACAAAGTAGATTGAATATCATTACACAACAACTTTGTACAAAATATGTTACAACAAGGGTGGACATGATAATATTTTCAAAAACTCGTCTCACATGGCTTCTTAAATTTCCATATAAGCTGCTTTCATTTCGAGGTGAAATAATAATTATAAAATCGTAAACGAAACTTTTAAAAACCGCATTATGTAAATTAAAAAGAACATCTCGTTTACACTGTGTACATGCTATTTACCCTAATCTCTTTAAAATCGTGCTACTGATTCTAATTGTATCTGACCTTATACATGTATACATCATGTATGTAGGATGAGTAAAGGAGAGAAAATCATGCTCTGACTTTAATTAACGATATGAAAGCAGGGCGACACCATTACACAACATCGGATGGTTAAGGTTATAAGTGTAAACAGATGTACCAAATTTTCATGACTAACGTTCCTAAAAAAAGACGTTTGTTTCTAAATATAGTATTCATAACATCTCACATATAAATTTTTATTTGATACAATGAAATGTTGTCGGATGTTACAGATATTATCTATGTATCGTGTCCTATTTTTTGAACTTAAATTAGTAAGCCGTGCATTTATTCATACCATGCATTCATTTATAGGTCCAGGTACATGTATAAAAATTTATAAAAACCAATCTAAAAAGATTGAGACATATATATTCATTTATTTCACACTAAAATGTAACAAATGAACTTCTATTGTCTGCACCATGTGATCTCCAATTACAAATCAACGTTGGAACCGTTCCTATCAATTAAGCATCATTTCTTATTTTGCCTGTTCAAATAATTCATGTCAAATCAATATCGCACTCTACCAAGCCGCTTTTTCATAGCCCAAAATCCTAAACAAATCACTGTTGTACTTCTTCTGGCCTCGTTTTCATTTTCAGAGTCCAAAAAGGATTTCATATCCCTATTGTACTCGGGGTATTAAAGTTCTATCAAAAATTGGTAGTGTGAAATAAAGGTGTAATTTTACATTTACAGTACTTATTTTTAGCTTGCAAAACCGATATCAGGCCCGGCTAACGCTTCGTCCAATATCGGCATGATAGATGTGTACTCGTCTAATATAAATCAGTATTGTACTGACCACATATTTCTAAAATCCATAAGCCGGCAAAGCAATCTGATCTTGACGATTTTACTTCGCAATAGACCTCGTAATTTATGGTGATACATTAGAACTACTTCAGTCACATGATTCCGCCATTATGTTTTTTTCTTATGACGTCAATTTTAAAATTTCAATATTAAGTAATTAATTCTTGTTTTCAATTAATGTGACTCGGGTCAATTAAAATAAAGAATAAGTTAGCACAGGACATACTCCCAATACTAAGGGGTATGGCAATTGTTACTTTCTCAAGAACGAACACTGCCTTTACAACCCCGACCGACTTGCCTTGGTATGTATTCGTGGCCTCTTATCCGGAGTATACTGGAAAAGCCGATGCTTTGCGATTGTTGAAAAAGTTATATACCGCTTGAATCGGCAAATAATTGACTTGGACATGGTATATGTTTGTTTTTCCAATATTGAAAGATATAGCGAAGACATAACAAATGCATTTTCAGTGATGGTCGAGCCATTAGCGATGACGTAATGTTACCTGTGATAACCCACCCTGATATTGTCTTTTCTTCACTGCAAGTGCAATCAAATTACGAAACTAATTTAAGAAAGGAACAAACATTAAACTATGAATTAAAATTGGGAAAAATAAATAATGTTATAATACATTATGTAAGTATACACTTTATTTAAAAGAACTCACTAAATTTGCCTTTATTATTATTGTATTCAAACGAATGACCGGTAACTACTCTCAGCAAGAAAATCAATTCATAATAAAGGAACTATGAACCTTTTTTTTCGTGCATGCAAATCTGCAAAGCAACAAGATACATTTAAAACCCGAGCACGCAGTGCAAGTGATCTGATTAGTCCGAGTACTTCTACAGGTGTGAATGCACGACAAAATAGTGTGCTATCTATAACTAAACAGCTGATTCGGTAATTCCGCTTTTTGCTATTTGTTTTCGTTTAAATTTTGGCGTGTTTTTCACGTGCTGGTGCGATCACCCGGCCCGAAATTGCAAAATTGTGTTCTGAGTCACGCATATGAAAAAAATGAATAAAAATACACGCAACGACGGCGTGAGATTGCATGATTTTATCCGTTAATGCATTTTTCTTCTCCGTGCGCAGTTTTTATACAAGAATAGCAGTTGTCACTTTAATGTACAATATTTTGACCAAATAACAAATACATTAAAAACAAGTTTAAGAAAGTAGATTAAAACGACTAAGGGTAAATACTAAAAAGGTCAAACTAATGCGGTTAATGCCGAATTACTATAATTGTTTTCGTTATATGATAAGCTGGTATGAAAAAAGAAATTTCTATTTCTATTTAACAACTCAGCAAATATCGATTACCTATCTTTCTGAGGCCAGTGACCTTGAAACTGGTGCTTATGATCATTTGTGAATGTGTATAGATAATCGATATCAATTAAACAAATCCCTGTACATGTAGATTGAATTAAACAAATCTGAGTGTATGACCTGATGTCCTGAAAGTAGGACAGGGCTACTTATAAATTTAAAGCATGATTTGATATGCTTGAATTGTAAAGCTCGTTGGGATGTTTGTTCGTTTGGTAGATTTTTACACCGATAATCATATTTTGATGGTCAGCCGACCAAACTGGCTTTCCTGGATAGCTAACCAGTTATTACCAATTTTCGACTGATTTCATAATCGGCAGATAACAACAAATAACCATTAGACTCAATTTCCGATGTTATTTATTATGGGGAAATTTCGTCTCGCGCGAGGATCAAACCGCCCACCCCTGGATAACAAATTCGATACGAAATTATATATATAGCAGTTATTATGTTCATATTTTATATGCCTCTTTTTTTGTACACATGTAGTCTTTTAATATAATGAACAGCATAAATGTATTTATTTATCAAATTGTCATCCAAACACATGATGAAAAATATTTTACAACATGAAAAATATCACAAAGGCATGTATATAGGCATTCTATTCAGAATTACAAGAGACTGTAAAATGCACAGAGTCAGTGCATCTAGACGGGTATCATTTTATAACACACAAATACAATTTACATGATACAATTACAAAACAGCTGGTGAGTATGTCATTTTCATAAATGAGGAAAGTATAAGCCTTATAATATACATTGTATTACACGCGTATAGTAAACTCTCTTACACTAAGCAATACGGTGGTTTACATACATCAATATTGGATTAAATGTTGAAGATACCTGACATGTTTATACAGAATTAGTTAAACTGAAAACAGAACAAAACAGGAAAAAAAAACAACAAACACAACTAGGAATAACTAATTTTTGTATCTTTCACAAACCCTGAAAATAATAAGAAATGACAGAAAAGGAATTAGAGTTGAATATAGGATTAAATGTAGAAAAACATCGTATAAAGAATGAAGCGGAAAAAGAAAAGAGGAAGTTGCTTGACAATTGTGAAATAAATCAGGAAATAAGTATTGAAACAGAAGAGGTGAAAGGCGGAGCTCCAGTAGACAGGGGATGGGCCTGGGTCATTCTAGCGGGTAAACTAATTTGAATATGTTTGACATGCGCATTACTTTTATACGTTGTACTTTTAGTACTTGGTTGCCGTTTAATAGGCACGCTCTAGTTGCGTGATTGATTTTATTGACTGAAACGTCGGTGATTGATTTTATTGACTGAAACGTCGGTGATTGATTTTATTGACTGAAACGTCGGCTATTGAGGCATGACTTTAATAATAAATAGGGTTTTTTGTAACATTTCAATTATCATATTTTTCCTTTTTATTTTGCAAAATAAGACTTTATATCGTGATCTGAATATAAATTAGAATTTTCAGCAAATAATCTGTTCTACGATTATTAGAGCAAAATAGCTTAGTTATAAGCAAAGTCCTGTCTAAATCGAAATAAGAATATTTGAAGATGCAAAAAACATTTCATTAATATTTGTTGAGTAATAATCACAAAAAGGATTTAATTCAATCAGTATACCAACTTTTATTCATTAACTAGATGACCATTAAAAAACATTTATATACTCTATAAAATACTTAACAAAAAAGTGATATAACTGGACATAATTGTAGCCATGAACTTATGTCATAATATGTGTTAAACCTATAAATAATCTTTTGTAGTAAAGGCATTGCAAAAAAATCATTAGATCTACCTGAAATTTGATACTTGTATACACTTTGTAAACTTATGTGCACCTATATATTGCACCTTGCATTATGCAGTCATTTCTATGGATAGTACAAGTACATTGCTGAAATATCGGCGTTGTTTCATTCTGAAATATTTTCTTTTATTTATTCTTGTAACATAGATTTAATTTTTAAATATGTTACAATAATAAAACTTTATTGATCACTTAATGCACGTCTTGTAATGATG